TAATAAAATACCTGAAAAATGCCCTAATATTGACAAAATTACTTTAAAAAAATCGCACTTCCCAATATATTTTTTTAAAACATAACTACAAAAGGAAGCCAGGTTTTGTAAAACTTGTGTCACTGTGCCGCCCGCAGGTGTTTTACTTTACAATGTTTACAATGTGTAAAACTATAACACCTACACTAACGGCCTCAGGCACTGGGCCAAGGTGAACAGAACACAGAATGAATTATGTGTCATTATTTGCCTTGAATCTTGCAAAAAACCTAGTTTTTGGTGACTCAGCCCCGAGCTGAGGCTGTAATTAACAACGGAGGTTATTGTACAGCTGTGTATTTAGTATAATATTAAGTGTTTTATACTTTTTTTTGTCTAATAACAAGCAAACTAAGCGGTTATGAACATGCAGCCAAGTCCATCAGCATGTGGACTGACACAGTCTTTGTAGTTTTACCTCCATGTACCACAGCAGTGGATCTGAAGTGAAGCAACACAGATGTGACTGAAGCGCAGACTCTCAGCTTTAAATTAAGTGGTTTAATTAAGTTGTTGTATTAAATGTTTAGGAATTGCAGCTATTTTCTACATCCTCCCTCCATTTTTATAACCTCAGAAATAACCGGAGAGTTGACTGATGAGCCCTTTCTGGTCCAGATGTGGTCCGTTTCCTCCTTCTTTCAGACCAAAGTAAGGAGATTGATGTTCTACAGCTGATTCCAAGTGAAGTGCTAAATTCATATTTGGCAGCTGTTCTGGGAAAACAGATCTATCAGAGATACGCAAAAGCTTTAGGAGAGACCAAACCAACAACTTGTTGAAAAGAAGGAATGCACTGGTAAAGAAGTGGAAGACCACAGAAGACAACTTAAGTGGATGATGGCAGAGTTCTTTCCTTCACAACAACCGGTCAAAAACACCCTCAAAGATCCAGGCGTGTAATTCTCAAAGTGTACCGTGAAGAGACGCCTTCATAAATACAGAACTTATCTCGCGATGTAAACCAGAGTTAACACTCAGGTACAGAGAGGAGACATCAGACTTTTAAAATAGCCGGCAGAGTTCTGGATAAAGATTCTTTGGGCCGATGAAACCAGATGGACTCAGAACGACGGAAGGGAAGAGTCTATGATGGAGACAGTAGTATGGCAAAAACATTACACACATTAAAACAAAACGCAATAAACGCATGAGAAGTTAGAAGAATCGTTCCACTGTCTCTGCTGAATATCTCTGCAACGCATTAAAACAAACAAACAAACAAACAAACAAAAAACTGCATCTCTACATCCAAGCTGTTCCTTTATGTTTTGCAGGTGGTCAAGAACTTTGTAAATGTGTTAGTCTACCAATTACCAATAACTGGTATCGGTCGAAGCCCTTTTTGGTACTGAACAGAACATTCTGAGTGTCTGATAGAAGCTCATCTGTCAGACTTCCAAATAGTAAAAAAATACATTTTTATACTGACAACAAATCACACAGCCCAGATGTTTAATATCTGTGTATGTGTGTTGTTACTATCCATCAATAACTCAGCTCTGCAGGCTCTTGGTAAAGGTGCTTTGGAGGATGATTTATAGGATTTATACACCTCAGCAGGAGAATTATAAATATGAGACATGTAAGAATTAAAACTCCAGTTTACCCACAGTAAAGCTCTTCTTCTTGTCTCCGGGTTAGATTTAGTACAAAGAGGTTCCTCTTGTTGTTAAAATACAACCTGCAGCTACATTTTAATTTAACATGTAGCTCTCCTTGGTTATAGGATTTGTTGTGAGCGACGTACTCGAGCAGAGCTGCAACGTCCTGTGAGGCCCAAAGACAGAACTTCAGCCAAACAGCGCCGCAAACCACAATCATGTTTTTCTAATTCGCTACAGGTCATTTTTCAAAGTAATCTACGGACTGTGGTGGGAAACATGTCTGGCATCAGCCTGGAGTCCAAGGAGGCGTCTTCCCTCCCATTGTCCAACTAAACCCCAAATTATTACATTAACAGCCGTGAAAGTGGAAAGAAAGCAGCAAATATTGAGTATTTTACCTTAAAGAGTGACTATTTAAACACTGGAATAGTGAATCAAATCCCCTTTCTGTTGCCTGACTAATCATGGCAGCTTCAGTACATGTAAATATACATTAAAACAAAAAAAGGATTTTCCAGGAAAATAAATCACTTGCAAATGGATTATTATATGACATTGCCTCCTGTAATGTCTAATATTACTCTGAAATGAAAGTGAAAGTGAGCACAAAGGTGTGCCATGTTGAGTGGAGTAAAATGCTCTTCCCATTAAATCTTACTAGTAGCAGTTGGACCAACTTCCTTTTTGTCATTTTTAAGCAACATTGCAACACCTGACTTCATTCAAAAATCGGATTATTTAGTAATTCCCTGCTTGTAGACAGCTACAGACACAAATAAGAAGAGCGGTTAAGACTTGATCATACACAAAGGTTTATTGCAGTAAATTCGGCGTGTGTTTCACCAACCATCTGGCACTTTATGCCAGTCATATCTCACTTTTTATGGCCCCGCATCCCTTTCCGTTGAGTATTTAGGTGGCGAATTGGAGGGGAATACCGCGGAAATTACATGGACTGTATTCAAATGAACAATGGTTGAAGTTTCGGTTCCCTAAAGAAACGCCGTGAAGAAGTAAATAGAGAGAAATTCAAAGGGAGTCGATCCCCATCCAGTCCAGTCCAGGAGTGGCGGAGAAAGTTTGAACGGTGGCCGAAAATCTGCTCCAGTTAGCCGCTAAAGCACGAAGTCCGCTCAGAGATAAAGGTTTGTAAGAAAAAATAAAAAAAACAGAACACTGTTTGAGGAATAAACTCACCGTTTGGTTTTCTACCAGTTCGCAGAGGAATAAAGTTTCCTGCCGTGAAGTTCAGCCGCAGCTCGGCGCTTTGTTTCTGCGCTGTTTGAGGAAAACTTCCGCATTGAGCGACTTTTTCGTCTCCGCGTCAAGCGACAAACGAACACGACGAACTTCTGCTCACGACCTCCACATTAAAAGTGACGCACAGAAAGAGTTCCTCCACGTTCACTGGGCGGTTTTATTTATTTATGCATTTATTCTGGACCACCAAGAAGAAAAAGAAGTTTGACTATTTGTAAATTATTAAAGAAATATTAGGTGCTGGTTTAAATTACAGTCATACTGATGTAAACCAAATATGAAGTAACATCCGATTTAGATCTTTTTGAACTGTTTAAAAAGTTTCTCAGAATGACAGAACAAGTAACACAAAGGGTTATATTTTATTTATCTGCTTAATTTGTTCCACAAAAAACAGACAAACTGTTTTCTGTTGGATGTAAAAAGATTTTGGTAAACACAGACACACAAATGCTGAAAAAAACACTAACAAGTCACACAATATAACTAAAATAGACACAAAACTACCAGAATGCTGCACAAAATGATGACAAAAGACACAAAACAGCCACAAATAGACAAAATGAAAGGAATATGATGGAAAATGACCACAAAGAACACAAAATGATTAAAATGAGACACAAAATGATCACAAAGAGGCACAAAACAACCAAAAAGAGACACAACATAGCTCAAACAAGACACAAAACTACCACAACGAGGCATAAAATGACCACAAAAGACACAAAACAACCACAAATACACACAAAAGGAAAGAAAGAAGATGCAAATTGACCATGAAGAACACAAAATAACTAAAATGAGGCATAAAATGACCACAAAGAGACGCAAAACAACAAAAAAAGACTCAACATGAACAAAATAAGACACAAAACTACCTCAATGCCGCAAAAAATGAACACATAAGTGACAAAACAACCACAAATAGACACAAAATGAAAGAAATGAGACACAAAATGACCACAAAGAACAACAAAAAACTAAAATGAGACATAAAATGACCACAAAGAGACACAAAGTGATATTAAATTACTAAAATTAAAAAAATCACCACAAAAAGATACAAAAACATGCAAAATGACTACAAAAAAACACCAAATGACAAAAATGAGACACAGAAGTATTGCTAAATGACCAAACTGAGGCACAAATCGAGCACAAAAAAACAAAACAAAAACACAAACTGGCAAAAAAAGAGACAGAGAACAACAAAATGAGACACGACAAGACCACAGACTTAAAATACTCCTTCTGCACAACAAAAAGTGAAGAAAATCAAACAAAAAGCCTAAATAGGAGTTGTTAGAGATGCATGACTCCCGTTGGCCACCCGTCCACCTTTCCCTGAGTTGGTACAGTCCAGCAGGTGACTTAAGGGCATGCAAAGCAGCTGTGTGTTTGTTTGGCAGCTCAGGTGAGGTCGTGAGGCCTGCAGGCAGCGTAGAGGACAGGTGAGGAACAACAGGTCTGGATACAGGTGTTTCAGTTACCTGGAGACGCAGGACGAAGCTTCACGAAGCTTCACCTGTAACCTCAGCAACACTTGAGAGAAGCTCACAGGTTCATCTCATGAGTCCAATGAACGGTGTGTTGTTGTTGTTACACGTTTGTTCAGCAGAAGCCACAACACAAAACCAGAAAACCATGTGTCTCCGTGTGGTTGTTTTGTGTCTCTGTGAGATCAGATAAGATTATTCGTCACATACACAATTATACACAGTACAATGCGTAGTGAAATGGGTTTTGTACCTGTATCCAAAAGTAAAAATAAAATAAGATACCTAAAGTGTTCAAGAAATATATATACACAGATAAATAAAATAAAATAAAAGCTCCTCAAACAAGGCAAATGGAACATGTGACATGTTGTATGTTTAAAGGTGCCAGTGTCTGGTGCATTACATCCAGCTCAAGGCTCAGAGTTCAGCAAACGGACGGCCTGAGGGAAGAATCTCTTCCTCATTCTCTCAGTCTTCAGGCAGCGATAGTGTCGGCCTGACGGCAGCAGGGACGAGGATGGCTAGTCTGCTTCAGGACTGTCACAGTCCTTGACCTGTAAATGTCCTGCAGGTTGGAGTGTGTGGTCGTTTTGTGTCTCTTTGTGGTCGTATTGTGTCTCTTTGTGGTTGTTTTGTGTCTGTTTGTGGTCATTTTGTGTCTCTTTCTGCTTGGTTTGTGGTTCATTTTGAGAACGTTTGTATCAGTTCAGTGGTTGTTTTTTTTGTCTGTCTTCAGTGAGTTTTTTTTGGGTGATTTTTTTGTTTGTATCAGTTCAGTGGTTGTTTTATGTATCTGTGGACGTTTTGTGTCTCTTTGTGGTTGTTTCGATTTTTTAAAATTGATTTGTGTCACTTTGTGAACTATTTGTGATCAGTTTGATTCACACGCTTTGTGTTTGTTTGTCTTGTGTCTTTTGTGGTGCTTCTGTGGCTCTTTGTGGTCGCTTTGTGTCCCTTTGCTGTTGTTTTGTGTATCTTTGTGGTTGTTTGCATCTTTTTATTGCTTTTTGTGTCTTTGTGGTTATTTTGAGTTATTTGTGGTCGTTTTGTGTCTGTTTTGGGTCATATTGTGTCTTTGTGGTGCTTTTGCATCTCTCTGTGGTTAACTGAACTCTTTGGTGTCTCTTTGTGTCCTTCTGTGAATGTGAAGCTATTTTGTGTCAAATTGTTGTCATTGTATGTGTGTGTGTGTGTGTGTGTGTGTGTGAGATGATCCTCCTACAGTCTGTTAAACATTAGATTTGAGCTGATGGACAATTTCATCAATCATCAAACTGTTGGTTTTTTGTTTGTTTGTTTGTTTTGTTTTAATTTTTTGTTGTTGTTTTTGAATTGGTTGAAAACTGAATGGACTTTGGTTGGAGACCAGCCCTCCATTCCTCCACGTGTGTGTGTGTGTTTGCTCCGGCGGTCCAGCGCCTCTGCTGCCCGGCCTGTGATGCCTGTGCACGGCCGGCAGGAGTCGCTGCAGGCCGCTGTCCGCTCCGCTCCTCTCCGCGGTGCGTGTGGAGGCTTCCCCCGCTAAAAAGGCGTGTGAGGCGGCTGGAGGGTGTAAAGGCTCTCCGGCAGCCACAGCAGCAGGAGGAGGAGGAGGAGGAGGAGGATGAAGCTGTGGAGCTGATCTCAGTTCAGTCCGTCTGAGCTGCAAACTTTCGGATGCTTTTGTCGCTCTGGAGCTTTCACTTCTTCTTTTTCATGCACATCTGAGCAGGTAAGAACCTCAGAAACTCTTCAGTTCTCAGCGTTTACTCGCTTTAATCGTGTTTGCCTGCTGCCTGCTGCTCACCTCTTTATTTACATACATTATTTAAGGCGTCTGAGAGCTTCTCCACGCTGCTCTGCTCCAGTGGTCCACTTTAATTGTGTGTCACAGGGTGAAATGATGGAGCTGCTCCTGTGTTACATGGATGTTCTTGTATTTTTCTCATCAGACAGCAGCTTTTACTGGATGACAGGTTGTTTGCTGCAGCTTTTTTACAAACTGTGCATCAAGCAGCTGTTTCAAACGTGTCTTGAAAATGAATCAGAATCTGATGTATACTTTGATTTGTTTGAGGTTTGTGACTTGAGCAGTGGAATCAGATGTTTTCTGTCTGTTTGTCTTCAGTTTGAATCTTTTATTGTCACTTTCTGTCTTGGTCCACTCTTTCATGGCTATTTTCAATCTTCTCATGTTGCATCTTTTTTTTTAAAGTACAGTTTGCATCCTTTTGTTTCCATCTTTCGTAGGTTTGAGGTCATTTTACACATTTGAACTAATTGTCCATCCTTTTATGAACATTTTGCATTATTTGGTGGACGTGCTGCAACACCACGTCATTATTTTGCATCTTTCTGAAGTATTTTGCATCTTTATTTGGTGTTTTTTGTGTGTTCTTGTAGCTGTTTTCCTGTTTAATGGTAATTCTACATGTTTCTGTGATCATTTTAAGCCCTTNTTGTTGTTTTTGAATTGGTTGAAAACTGAATGGACTTTGGTTGGAGACCAGCCCTCCATTCCTCCACGTGTGTGTGTGTGTTTGCTCCGGCGGTCCAGCGCCTCTGCTGCCCGGCCTGTGATGCCTGTGCACGGCCGGCAGGAGTCGCTGCAGGCCGCTGTCCGCTCCGCTCCTCTCCGCGGTGCGTGTGGAGGCTTCCCCCGCTAAAAAGGCGTGTGAGGCGGCTGGAGGGTGTAAAGGCTCTCCGGCAGCCACAGCAGCAGGAGGAGGAGGAGGAGGAGGAGGATGAAGCTGTGGAGCTGATCTCAGTTCAGTCCGTCTGAGCTGCAAACTTTCGGATGCTTTTGTCGCTCTGGAGCTTTCACTTCTTCTTTTTCATGCACATCTGAGCAGGTAAGAACCTCAGAAACTCTTCAGTTCTCAGCGTTTACTCGCTTTAATCGTGTTTGCCTGCTGCCTGCTGCTCACCTCTTTATTTACATACATTATTTAAGGCGTCTGAGAGCTTCTCCACGCTGCTCTGCTCCAGTGGTCCACTTTAATTGTGTGTCACAGGGTGAAATGATGGAGCTGCTCCTGTGTTACATGGATGTTCTTGTATTTTTCTCATCAGACAGCAGCTTTTACTGGATGACAGATTGTTTGCTGCAGCTTTTTTACAAACTGTGCATCAAGCAGCTGTTTCAAACGTGTCCTGGAAATGAATCAGAATCTGACGTATACTTTGATTTGTTTGAGGTTTGTGACTTGAGCAGTGGAATCAGATGTTTTCTGTCTGTTTGTCTTCAGTTTGAATCTTTTATTGTCACTTTCTGTCTTGGTCCACTCTTTCATGGCTATTTTCAATCTTCTCATGTTGCATCTTTTTTTTTAAAGTACAGTTTGCATCCTTTTGTTTCCATCTTTCGTAGGTTTGAGGTCATTTTACACATTTGAACTAATTGTCCATCCTTTTATGAACATTTTGCATTATTTGGTGGACGTGCTGCAACACCACGTCATTATTTTGCATCTTTCTGAAGTATTTTGCATCTTTATTTGGTGTTTTTTGTGTGTTCTTGTAGCTGTTTTCCTGTTTAATGGTAATTCTACATGTT